GCATAATGTACGACAGCTTGCTGACCACAAGAATGGCGGAGGGGATAACTCTGGTTGGTTATGCAGACGACGTCGCGATCGTCGGAAGAGCAAGAACAGTCGACCAGCTGGAAGGAATAGTTTCTTGAATAGTTCTAGCAATAAGTTCTTGATTATAATATGCATTTTTTTTATAAAGCAGTCAAATGTTGTTTTTTTTCTTAGATTGTTTAGTACCTAGTACTCCAGATACCAATCCATCATTCTCAATGCCATATCCTTCCAAATGTTCTTCACTGGATTTGTCTTCATTTTGAATTGTATCATCTTCTAGTTCGTATACATTAGATATAGTGCTAAAATTAAAATTGGAATTATTTATTATTATAGTTAGGATGTTGATGAACTAAGAAACATACAAAAATGTTCTAAAAAAATGGAAAAATATCTTAAAAAAAAAGTGCAAAAATGCCCTAAACACTTAAAATAATTACCTTAAAAATATTCTAAATAACTAATTGAGTAGGTAAGTAAAATAAATATATTTATAAATAATAATTTTAATTAGTGATATGGGTGTGATAATGGGTGTAATAGTAATTTAAATACTAATTTATAAGTTATAAATTATAATATTAATAAATAAAAGTATAAATTTACATTTTAAGCATTACATAAAATTATTAATTATTATATTTTGTTTCTAAACTTGGGTTTAACATTTACTCAAAAAAATTCTCTTAAAAAATAATTTAAAAATGTTGAAAAATGACGTTTAAAAGCAAAAAAATGTATTTATATCTAATAATACTAAAAAATTAGTTATCATGATTATAATGAATTAAATAATACTTACGTCGCAAAACTCAAATGTGGTCTTAAGAATTCTAAATACTTTGCCCAGTTCCATTTTTTATATACATCTAAATGTTTGCTTTGAGATGCACCTAAAGCTTGCCCTGTTTCTGTTATATTTGCCATCAGATGTTTTTGGAATGAATCTCTAAGATTTTTCCACTTGGATTTCAAAGCATCCTCTATTATTAAAATGATTATTAATTTCAAATATTAAACATATTACAATACTTACATTTATTTTACATATAAATATTAAAATATACGAGTTTAACAGAATGTGCTGTATATGAAATTATGTGCTGTATTGTAAAAAACGGTAAAATTGATGGAATGCTGATTTTGATTTTAATTTTTCAAATATAATTAAAAAAGTAATGATCGTAGGGACTTGAAATTTTCATCAAATATTTATATGAATATTTTCTAAATATGGTAAAAATTTTAAACGTTATTATATATAATTTACTATTTTAGTAAATCATTTTATCCACTTAATTTTAATGAGTATAATTAAAATTATTAAATATATATTATTTATATTATTATAATATTACATTTTAATAGTTCAAGTATGTTTAACTGTATATTGTTTTTCATTTTTAGATATTTCGCTACCGGTGACTCATTTTCGACCATAGGCCACAGTTTTCGAGTTTGTTTCTCTACTGTGAGCAAAATAGTAGTCGAAGTTATGTAAAGCTATCATCAAAATAATGGGACCAATATTTTTGCCAGAACTAACCAGACATTTGGGAAAAGTCAGCTCTTGGTCTTTACGATAAATGGCAGTTCCCTAATTATGTAAGCAGTGTGGATAGAAAGCATGTTACAATTAAATGCCCAAACAATAGTGGATCCAGAAATTTTTGCTACTTAATGGCTATCGTAGATCCAGAATATAAATTTATTTGTATAGACGTTGGTGGCTATGGTCGAAATTTGGATGGAGGAATTTTAGAAGACTCGGCAATTGGTAAGCGCTTGGAAATGGGGAATTTAAACTTACCGACAAATAAGCCTTTACCAGGTCAGGTTGAAGACTCGCCTATGGTTCTAATTGGCGATGAAGCATTTGCTTTAAAACCATACCTATTAAAGCCCTTCCCACGAAGACAATCACGTAATAACATCCAACTTGACAATTATAATTATAGACTCTGCAGAGCAAGGCGTGTTGTTGAGAACGCATTTAGAATTTTAACAAAAAAATGGAGAATTTATAATAGACTAATAGAAGTGAAAGAAGAAACAACAATTAAAATTATTATGGCTACTTGTATTTTGCACAATTTTATACGAGTACAAAACTGCAACATCGATACTATAGAGCCAGATGAAAATGATTCTATAAGTACCTTGGGTGAACTAAGCATAAACGATCGGAGAGGAACAAATGAATCGTTAAGAATACGCGATAATTTCATAGATTTCTTCAACTCTTGATCATTTTTTTAATTCACTGTCAATTTTATAATTATTTTCTACTAGTATAAATTACAGTCTTCTATGATATTGAATGGATTTAATAATACAGTGAAACCTCTGAATAGCGGACACTCTCGGTCGCCGAAATTTTGTCCGCTATTTAGAGGTGTCCGCTATTTAGAGGAAAATATTTTTTTTAACAAATAAATAAATTCATTAATTTTATTTTATATTACTTTTACATTAATTAAATACACGATAAAACTAACATTTATGAAAAAAAACCAGTTACCTAAATTTTTATTTTATTTTTACATTAATTAAATATGAAAACTAAAAAAATAAAAACTAATAAAAATAAAAAAAAATCTGTTACTTTAGTTTGTTTACTAATTGCAGGCGTAGTTATTTCGTATGTTAAGGCATTCTCTAATTGGATTGTGTTTGAGAACAATGAACTATTCTGTACCTCGATAGAAGAAATATATGTACGTATGTCTTTTACTGCTAGCAATGCCTCTAGTAGACTTCTTATTTTTGGAATTTATTGATCTTCGGACCAATCATTTTCTTCATCACTACTTTCTTCTTCATTTTGGGTAGACATGCTCGTAGTATCAGATGAATTTTCGATATCGGCGTCGTAAGTCTCTACGCAATCGTCTAGTGTTATGTAGTCATTTTCCGTAATTGTATTGTCAATCACTTTAATAAGATTGCCAAGTTCTTCTATTGGTGTAAGTAGATCATCAACGTCTGTAACATTGTTATCACGGTGCCTAAAGCCAGACCGCAAAAAGCATTTCTTCACTGTTTCGGGTTGAATGTTTTTTGTAGATGAAGACACCCAGTAAATTGCATCCAACATGTTGATAGGTTGACTTGAATTGGCATCCAAATCGGCAACAGCTTTACGTAACAATTGCGTACGATATAATTTCTTAAACTGATGGATTACTCCTTGGTCAAGCGGTTGGCAATGAGAAGTCATGTTAGGTGGAAAAAACACAAATTCAATATTTTTCATTTTTAAATGTGGATGAGGAGCCGCGTTGTCTAAAAAGAGTAAAACTTTTCTTATATTTTGACCCATTCTGTTATCAAATTTCATAAGCCACTCAGTCATTATTTCAGTCGTCATCCAGGCTTTTTTGTTCCAAAACCAATTGACGGGAAAGTTGTTAATATCCAATTTTTTGAAGGCTCGTGGACGTTTAGCTTTGCCTATGACGAATGACCGTTCAAACTCACCTAACATGTTAGTACACAAGAGTACAGTTAAACGTTCTTTTGAAATTTTTCCTCCAGTACATATCTCATTTTTAAACGCCATGGTTTTATCAGGTAGAACTCTATAAAACAATCCCGTTTCATCTGCATTAAAAATATCGCATTCTGCGTAGTTTGCTATAATTTTGGGTATTTTTGCTTTCCAGTTATCAACGGCTTCTTCATCAACACTTGCTGCTTCACCACAAACTGATTTAAAAGAAATATTATTTATTTTCCGAAATTTTTCAAGCCAGCCATTAGAGCCTTTAAAATCAAATCCGTGCATTTCAGCGATTTGCTTACTTTTTTCTTGAAGCATCGGTCCTGAAACAGGAAGATTTTTTTTTCTCGTAATTTTGAAAACCAGTTTAATACTTCATTGTTGATTATAGAGGTTTCTGTTTTTTGTAGCTTTGTCCATTTCCGTTTCTCTTCTCCATTTTCAGCCCAAGTTTTGTAAAGAGCGTCTTTATTTGCTATAATATCAGCAATTTGTGTTTTACTAACACTAAATTTGTCTGCTAATGCACGAACGCCCATTGTATTTGATGTTCGAAATTCCAG